CTGGAGGCGTCTCTTCAGGGAGAGCTCAGCTTGGCATCTGGGCCTCTCTTTCTGCCCTGGATATATACGTGCCAGTCTCTGAAACCAATCCAGTTAATGGCAATGCACTGAACTATGACCAGGCAGTAAATGTGTGGTTAAAAGCAGAGCCTGCCTCTGCAGTCACAAGTTGCTCGGTGTGTGTGGGGAATGCAGGTTTGTGGTAAAAAAGGGCAGGGGTTCACTTGCCACACTGAAATTTTGATCACGTGGGAGCCAATGCCCTTCACTTTAGGCCCATCGTGGCTGTGTCTAGACTGTCTACACAATGGTCGCTTGAATTTCCGCAAGAACACTGACGATCTCATGTAAGAAATCAGTGCTTCTTGTGGAAATACTATGCTGCTCCCATTTGGGCAAAAGTCCTTTTGCGCAAAGCTTTTGCGCAAAAGGGCCAGTGTAGACAGCTCAGATTTGTTTTCCGCAAAAAAGCCCCGATCGCAAAAATGGCGATCGGGGCTTTTTTGTGCAAAAGTGCGTCTAGATTGGCCACAGATGCTTTTCCGCCAAAAATGCTTTTGCGGAAAAGCGACCGTGCCAATCTAGACGCTCTTTTCCGCAAATACTTTTAACGGAAAACTTTTCCGTTAAAAGCATTTGCGGAATATCATGCCAGTCTAGACATAGCCTCTATGTTTACCTGTATCCCACACAAATGGGCTGGTATCTTGCTTTTTTTAAAAAATTATAAGTGACGTTCATGAGAAACATTGGATGAGGATGCTGAGTTTGGGGGCATGTTAGAGACCAATTCACAAACCCTGGGACTTCCTGGAGCCTGCATGTTTTATTTCCTGCTCTGGTCAGCTTCATCCTTTGTTCCTCCAAGTGACGTGATGGGAACGCTGTGGGGTTCATGCCACTCATGAGTCTTGCAGGAGAGACCTTAAAAATCAAGGCCAAAACTCTCCCTTGTGGAGTCTTATTTCATATACAAATGTATCAAGGACTGTAACTTTGTGCATATGTAGCACCTTGCATTCAGTGTTTTCGGTGTGCTATACAGATGTGAATGAGTTACTTATCCTTGCAGTAGCCCTGTCAGCTGGAGGCATGCATTACCTGCCTTTTAAAGGTGGGGAAACGGAGGCATGAAGGGGTGACACGATTAGATCCTAGGATTCCCAGCCCAGCCAGTATTCCTATCACAGGACCGTCCTCCCCTCAGGTCATTTTAAAGCAACCTGTATTGTATCTCAGTTGAGATCTTAGACTTTGCCTCAGCGTGTCTCACTCTTGGGCCCTGTAGGGTGGATGTCGTGCTGCTAATACGTGCAGCCTCTTCTTCCAGTCTCCATTCCCCCCAAGGGCTCAGCTAGGCTGAGTCTGGGTTTGGAAAATTCCCGTGCCGTGAATAATGAAGGCTTTTATTCAAGGGACCATTTCAGATTTTAGTTGGGGAGCAACTTTTAGTGTGATTACAGGGACTATTTAGCCACCTTCAAAACTTGCAGAACAACAGGTAATAACTTAAAAATTAGCTGACAGGAACACTGTATCTAATCTACTATATTTGAGAGAGTTTCTCTGTCTGTCTGTCCGTCCAAGAACTCCTAAACAATAAGAGCTAGGTCCACCACATTTGGTATGCACCTTCCTATTGTCATAACTTAAAACTAAGCAATGTGAGAGTTTGGTTGTGCCAGGAAAATGGGATATGCCTGGAATGGGATAGTTCCTCAAAAAACTATACAGAAAAGATACAGACTCATCACACAAGATACAGGGTCTGCACACAAGTGAGGAGCGAAAGGGGCTGCCTGGAGGTATGTTCCCCCATCCAGGGCTGCCTCAACCCCAAGCCTCCCACCCCTCAGGCGCCCTTTGGGGAAGGCACCACATACATATGGGGACATTTCTGGCTGTTCCCCTTCATCAGTGAGTGAGGGAAAGTGCACAGTTTGCTACATTCCTCACTCTGGCTGGGGAGTGCAGGGGCTTTGCTTTCGATTTCTGACAGGGACTGGAAGGGGAAGAGCAAGCAGCTCTGTCATAACTCTGGGGGGTTCTCCCCCCCCCCCCACATATAAACACAAAGAGTCCTCTGCCTATAGCTTGTCCTTACCCTCCCGATCCTGACTCCTGCCCCCCCCAACCCCCTGCCCTGAGCCCCTTCTTAAGGACCTGAACAATGCCAGGCAAAAGTGCTAGTTCCTGTATAAAGAAAGACAATTCAGTAAATATTAGGCCCACTCTGCTCTCATGCTAACCTGTCCTGACATCTTGTGTTAGATCCTAAAAGGCAGTGGTTCTCAACCAGGGTGTGGGACCTTGGGGCCTGGGGGTTGTGAGCAGGTTTCAGGGGGGCCACTGAGCAGGGACTGGTTTTGAACTGGCTGGGCCCCAGGACAGAAAGCTGAAGGCCCACTGACAAGGCTGATACCTGGAGCTCTGAGCCCACAACCTGGTGCTGAAGCAGAACCCTGAGCATCTTAGCTTCACAGTGCCCCTTGCGGTATGGGGCTTTTCAACCATGATGTCCTCCCCAACCACTGCTGAGACAGTGTGCTGGATTTGGCGAGAAGTGGCCTTCTTGGTTTTCCTCCCATTCGAGTCCTGTTCTTTTGCAGCATACAGCAGAGAGGATAGGGAGTTGGATAGGGAGTGAGACCTGGGTTCTACTTGGCTATCCTGTTTCTGAACACCCTCAGCCTTAGGGACAGTTACAAAGCTTTTTAGGCAACAAGGCACCTAGTGGGGTTTACAAAGCACCCAGCCTTCTATGGAGATAACAGCGCTGCTCTACCTCCCCGAGGGGCTGTGAGGAGAGATGGGTGAGGCACTCAGACACTTCTCTGTACCTCTGCTAATCCTTCCTTGGTTTTGTGCCCTCCTTTTCGCCTAGCAGGGGTGGGGAAATGAAGGCCCAGGGGCCAGATGTGGTCCTGGGCTTGCCTGGATCTGGGCCCTGAGGCTCTGGCCCCTCCGCCCCCAGCATTGGGGAGCCTGCACTGGCACTCTGGACCCCGCCCGCTGGCCCTCAGTGGGGCAGGAGCACACAAAATCTGCTAGTCTGGCCACCTCCCTCCCCAGACACTAGTGTGGGAGGGGAATGTGAGGAGTGTCTTTCTCAGTCAGGGGCCATATCAGTAAGAGGTGTTTTTTTGTTCGTGTGCCCACTCCCCCTAACTGATTTTTCTGTGGGTCAGCAGCCCCCAACCCAGAAGGATCCCCCCCTATTCCTAGCCCCTCAGATCTCCCATCTTTTCTGAATGTAACCTTTGCTCAGAGGGCTTGCCCCAGGCCTTCATTTCCCCATCCCTGCTAGGCGAAAAGAAGGGCACAAAACCAAGGAAGGATTAGGAGTGGTACAGAGGGCTTGGCTGTATTTCTTCTGCATCCCCTGAAAAATACTCCACCCCCTGCAGAGATTCCTGCTTTACAAGCTCTTCTAATGACTTCCAGGTCCTTAATTTAATTACCAGACTTTTCTTATCTTAATCGCCCTACTTCTGTCAATAAACACAATGCTGACTCCCTGCCCCAGGGCCACAGACTAGGAGCAGCCGGACTCCCTTGTAGAAGGCACAGCATACCACACTCAGGCTGTGCTTGCCTGGGGCACACCTCCTGTATGAAACTCGGGGCAGGGAGGGGAGGCTCTCTGTATCCCCTCTCAGTGGTTCCCCTGCTGTTGTTCCTCCCAGGGAGCTGTGATCTCTCCCTGTTCTCCCTGGCAGGGGTGAGGAGTGGGAGGGAGGCGCACAGGCAGCAGCGTGACAGCACAGATACAGGGGGTGGGGTGGCCTCCCTGCAGCCCCCTCCCTGGCGTTAACCCTTATCTCTCTGTGGCAGTAACCTGGTCCTTGTAAGGGCTCCTGGGCCCAGCCTGTGTCCTGGCCATTCTGTCCTGGCCCTTGTTTGAAGAGCTGAATGGGAGGAAGTGGCTTGTTTAGGGTTTTCCCTTCCTAGAAGGCCCTCCACCAAGGCAATGGGAACCCAGGGCTGCCACCCAGGAGGCAGAGACCGCTCCTCTGAGCTAAGCCTGTCTGATGCCTCTTGCCTCACCCCCTTGCCTTTAGAGCGGGGGTGAGGAACCTTTTTTGGGTCGGGGGCTGGTGACGCACAGAAGAAAGCGTTGGGGTCTGCACACAAGTGAGGAGCGAAAAAAAACAAAACCAAAAAAAAAAAAAAAACCCAATAACCCCAAACAAACCAAAAAACCAACAACCCACAAAAACAAAACACCCTCCCCCCTGCCCACCTCGCTGAGGAGGCCCCTGGCTGGGGAGGAGAAAGACACCCCCCACATCCCCCTGGCTCAGCAGAATCACCCTGCTTTCGGCACCTGGGATTGGGATGGTGAGGGATGAAGGCTGGGAGCTGCCTCCCTTGCCTGGTTTTGCCCCTGAGGAGACAGGGTGGATTCGGTGTCTGGTGTGAGGGATGAGTCCCTGAGCGTCCAGGCCTCTTCTGCCTGAAGCCCCCAGCAGTCCCTTGGCTCTCCTGGGCTGCAGTGGGGCTGGAGGGCCCTTCATGCCCGCTCCGGCATTTGGCCTGTCTGCAGCTCACATCTTGCTTGGCTGTCCTGTGTCCCTGGCAGTGGGACTCCTGCGTGTATCACACGCTGGGGGACGAGCCGTGCGGGGGGGGGAGGGTGTGTGCGCGCGCTGTGGGGGCGAGACGCCAGCATAGCAGGATCCATCTGGCCTGCAGATGTGCCATTACAACCCAAGCTGTGGCTGAGCCCCATGGTCCCCCCTGGCCTCCCACACTCCTTAGAGCTGTGTGCACTTCCTGCAGCACTGGCATCTCCCTGAGGAGCGCCGTCCCGCTCTGTGCTGGCTGTTAGCAGGAGGCTCATTTCCGCTGCGTGTGTGTGTGTGGGGGGGAGCTTTCTACCGAGAACCCCTTAAATCAGGAGATCTAGGTGGAGCCACAGAAGCTGCTTGGGTCCTGGTGCTTTCCACAGCCTGGATCCCTCTCCCTTGGCTCATGTTCCATGTGCTTGTGCCCCCCAGCCAGGCCCCATTCAAGGAAGGCAGCCAGCAGCTCCAGAAGCAGCCGGTGGTGGGGCAATGGGAGCCGCTGGCGTCGTCCGGGGGCGGGAAGGAGCTGGCGCCGGTGGAACCTCGCTGCCGGGAGGATGACGACCAGTCCACCGCGCAGCTCAATGTCTCCCGCCTGCGCAGCTCCTCGGTGGAGATCCGCGAGAAGGGATCGGAGTTCCTCAAGGAGGAGCTGCACCGAGCACAGAAGGTGAAGCCCTGGGCACGGAGGTGGGTGGCGGAGGGCAAGCACAGGCCAGGAACCGGAAGCGGCATGGGTAGAAGGGCTGGAGTTTACCTGGGCTGGAAGGTGGGTGGGTGCCCTAAGCATCTGGAGTGATTGGGGGCAGAAGGGAGAGGGGGGGCTGGAATCCGCACAGAGGACGGCCCGGCAGTGTCAGTGTGTGGAGACCAGGAGGGGGCGGAAGGGGGCCACAGGAGAGAATGAGGCATGTGGGAGAGGGCGGCTGCTGTCTCCAGAGCACCCGGGGGCCTGGCGGGTGCGTCTGCCCGAGTCCCCGGCGTCCCCCGCTGCAGGAGCTGAAGCTGAAGGACGAGGAGTGTGAGAGGCTGTCGAAGGTCAGAGAGCAGCTGGAGCAGGAGCTGGAGGAGCTGACTGCCAGTCTGTTTGAGGTATCGCTCCCCTCCCCCTTCCTCGCTATCTGAGCTCACTCGCTGTCTCCCTGGGGCCAGGCTCTCCCCTCACTTAGCCCAGCCATGGGGTTTTCTGCAGCCTTCCCAGGCTGACCAGCAGAGCTGGCCAGTTGTGCATGGCAGAGAGAGGTGCAGGTTGGTGGCGCTGTTAATGGGTCAGAGGGGTAGCATGGAGGGCACTAGTATGGGGCACAGACGTTCTCCCTTCCCCCGCTCTGCGCCAGTCACCCCAGCCGCTCTGGCAGGAAGCATGAACCGGAGCAGCCCGTGTCTTCACGGCACTTGGATTTGCAGCCAGCCGAGGCTGACGTGGGCTGTGCTAGGAGAGGCTGGGTGTCTGTGCCCTCTGCCCCCCATCCAACGGCTGGGCCACATCATGGTTTATTCGATTGCTGCTGCTGAAGCGAGACAGTCCTTTTGCGGGTGCTTAGCCCTGCCTGCTGCTTGCTGCAGCTGTTCTCATGTGGCCCCTTCCAGGGCTGGCCTTACCATGAGGCGAACTGAGGCGGCTGCCTCAGGGGCCAGACTGTGTGTGTGTGGGGGGGGGGGGCGCCACTAGGACCCAGCATGTAGAAAATTGTGTCTGCTGCTGGTGCAGATGTATTCTCTCTGCTCTAGATGCACAGAGATGGGGGAGTGCCATGAGAGGCGTAGAACAGGAAGAAGGCAGAATTGAGACCTTTCAAAGTTTTGGCCCTGGCGAGGGGGCATGGGGGCATCATTTGAGCTCCCCACCTCAGGTGCCAAAATGTTGTGGGCTGGCCCTGGCCCCTTCTCCATTTTTATGCCATGGCTCCTGGGGAGCTCCCAGGCCAGTAAAATCCTGTCTTCCAGCAGCCCAGGGCACAGGACAAGGGAAGGTCGGGGCTCTACTGTACCAGTTGGACATGTGCTTGCATCGGGGCCGTGCCCCAGGGGAGCTGGGAGAGATGTTGTGCTCTGAGGTCCACACTGTTCTTGCTACAGGCACCTTTGAGTACCCTGCTCCCCCCCCCAGAGAATTGCTGAGCTGCACGTAAAACCCCAGGGGGCAGGGTGGATTTGGCGCTTGGCGTTGCGGGATTCCTCACCGCAGGGGCTGTGTGTGGCTGGGACTCCGGCTGCGACGGGCAGCAGGTCATGCTCTCTCTGTCTGCTGCAGGAAGCGCACAAGATGGTGCGAGATGCAAACACGAAGCAGGCAGCGTCAGAGAAGCAGCTGAGGGAGGCACGAGGAAAGGTGAGGACTCTCCAAGCCCACCCCGGGCTTTTGTACAGACACGGGGCTGCCTGTGGGCAGGGGCCCGAGGACATCAACATAGCTGAGGGGCACATCCCATCCAGTCTTCTCCCTGTGGCACCTCCCAGGCTCAGCCGTCCTGATGGTTTCAGGTGTCTGCTCCAGGCCCCACACTTTCGGAGCCCCAGGATGGCTTGGGGGGTCATCGGGGAGGCCTGGCATGGGGCGGCAGTAGACGTCGGGACCCCACACTGACTGTGTCAGGGGGAGCTGGAGTGACCCATTAGCCTGCTCCACTCACCATGGTGGGAAGCAGAGTGCCCCAGCCCTGGCCTTAGACCTAGCCCGCGCCCCTCTGTCCCCCTGAGCTCTGCATCACTCGGGGGAGTGCAGCAGGCTAAGGCTGGGTCTCTCTGCTCCCTGCCGTCATGGTGAAGTGGAGAGCAGCAGGCTGGAAGATGGGTAGCAGGGAGGAGTGGAGCTGGTTGCTGGGTTGCTCTGGTGTCCATATCTGTGGGGAGTATGGGGGGGCCTGACCCCTATTATCCCCCCATGCCAGGCCCCTCAGTATTCTCCAGCTCACAGTGCTTGGGAGAGCGGGCTTCAGGCAATGAGGTGGGAGGGGACAGAGCAGGAGCCTGTGGCAGAATGGGGCAGGTCTTGGGGTAAGGGTAGAGTGGAGGTGGGGCTCCGGGGGGTGGTTGCTCTAGGCCCCAGACTACTGGCCTCTAGACATTCAGCAAGTCTGTCAGCTTTCCTCGCAGTGGCCACTGAATGTGGGAAAACGTGCTGCTGAAGCCAGCAGCGGATCCAACTCTCCGGTGAAAAACAGGGCCCAGAATTTCACCTGGGCCCATACAAGCACAGAGCTGGCCAGCAGCGTCACAGAGCTGCAGTTTGTGGCCTAGCAAACAAGCTGCTGCCTCGGGCACCGCGGATAAGGGGGTCTGGGGAGGAAGGAGTTAGGGAGGGGATTTCCCTGATCGGGATGTACCACTGGGGCATGGGACTGCACCTGCTACTGGTCTCTGGCTGTAAGGCTTAAATAGGTCCTGCCTGCGTAGCCAGGGAGGGTGGGGGTGTGGACTGGGAGGGGCAGGGAAGGCTCTGCATGCTGTTTCTGATCTGTATAGCCCCTGGTCCATGGTGTGGGATTCTAGGATGGGGCAGGGGGTGGAAGAAGTGGGTGGGTGCTCTGGGTGGATCAGGAGATGTCTCCTCGGCTGAGGGTGTGGCTGGGTTGTGCAGGTGCCCCAGGATCCTGAGCATGCACTCCCTGCATGGTGCAGGGGGCTCCGCTGGGTGGTTGTTGACACTCCTTTGTCTCCCAGATTGACATGCTGCAGGCAGAGGTGACTGCTTTGAAGACTCTGGTGATCACTTCCACCCCTTCCTCTCCCAACCGGGAGCTGCACCCCCAGCTCCAAAGCCCCTCCAAAACCGTCTTCAGGAAAGGGCACGGGCGGAACAAGAGCACCAGCAGCGCCGTAGTCACAGCCACCAGCCAGAGCCTACCCTTGGAGTCCGTCAGCCATGAGTGCAAAGAGGTGGGTGAAATCCAGACTGTGTGGGCTGGAGCAACTGGGTAGGGAGCTGCTGGAGGGATCGTCTTAGGGACTTCCCTGGAGGTCAGCAGAGTCCCCAGCCTTTCCCCTGCTCCGTGGTTTCAGTGTTGGAACACTGCCTGCGATGTTCATAGTAAGGCCATTAGTGGATTAGGAGTCCTCTGAGTCTTGCTGTGCTGGGAGCTGGGGGTTTCTCGGCAAAATCCCAAGGGTGGATTTTTCCCTTACAGGACTCATTTCAGTCTGGGTTCAGGAGAGACCCTCTTGGAAACAACCCAGGTATCTTTGCAGGGCTTCTGCGGTATGGATAAGGCACTTAGCTGCACTGGCATCAGGCAGTAAGCGCCTACTAGGAAGTGGCTTTCCTGATCTGCCTCTGCAATCTAGTGGCTGCTCTGGCTAATGCAGGGTTTGCTTTGGTTTCCCATCAGTCAAGTGTGGCCTGGGGGGTTAGACTGCAGTGCTGAGGGTATGTCTACACTGCAGAGTTTTTTAGGAAAAACTTCACTTACGTCCACATTGCAATCCCATTCTTTCAAAAAAAAATCGAAAGAACAGAGCGTTTTTTCCAACATCGGTAAACCTCTTTTTACCAGGAAGAAGCCTTTTTGCGAAAGAGCTCTTTTGGAAAAAGGCGTGTGTGGACGGGCTAGAGGGAGTTCTTTCAAAAGAAGAGGAAAAAACACAGGTGCCCTGGTGGCCACTCCACCCATAGTAATCACAGCTGAAATGCGAGAGAGCGTCCATTCAGTGTGGATGCTATCTTTCGGAGAAGCAGATCGCTTTTTCGATGTGCTTTTGCCGTGTAGATGTTCTCTTTCAGAAGAAGTTTTTTCGGAATATCTCTTCCAGAAAAGCTTCTTCTGAAAGAAGCCTGAAGTCTAGACGTAGCCTGAGAGTCAGAATTTGTTTCTGTTCCTTCACTCTACCACGGCCTCACTCTGGATATGTCTACACTACCCCGCTAGTTCGAACTAGCAGGGTAATGTAGGCATACCGCAATTGCAAATGAAGCCCGGGATTTGAATTGGAATGAAGAGTAACGGTAGTTCGAACTACCTAGTTCGTGCCGCGTGTAGCCGCGCGGCACGGGGTTCGAACCAGCCGGGATTTAAAAATGGCGGCGCCTGGCTTATGCAAATGAAGCCCGGGAAATTCAAATCCCGGGCTTCATTTGCAATTGCGGTATGCCTACATTACCCTCCTATTTCGAAATAGGAGGGTAGTGTAGACATACCCTCTGTGATGTTGGGCAAGTCACCTTTCCTCCCTGGGCCTCAGTGTCCCTTCCTCCAAAGCAGCTATTACCTGCCTCCTAAATAGAGTCAGGGTAGTAAATTCAAGCAGTTTTTTGGATATTCTTTCAATTCAGATCGTTGGTTTCCTTCACTGAGTTTTGTGCCCCCTTTCTCTTGCCATCCCTGAACACTGATATGAGTACAACATGGGTTTGCCAGAACTTCTCTTTCTGCAAACAGGGTTAAGACTATTTGTGTGAATGCACCGTTGAACGAGCCATCTGGAAAACTCCTTGGGGGTGTGAGAGATGGAGGGATGAGGAAGCAACTTTTGGCATTTGAACAGGAAGAACAAACATGGCTGGGGGGCAGGGGGCACATGATTTGTCTCCACCACCAGATCTCAGCAGCATGGGTGTCTGCAGCATGGAAGCATTTCAAGCACAGGGAGGCTCTTGGCTCATTTGACTTGTACCTAGAATGCAGCCAGGAAGTGAGGCAGCTAATCAGACCAGGGAGAGGTGGCCAGAGAGGATGGCTCGATTGTCTGACTTCAAGGAATGGCAACAGTGGATGGGTGAATTCAATCAGGCCATGTCTTCACTAAACTGAAGATCGATGCCTTGATTGTTCTCCCGGAGTTTGATTTAGCTAGTCTAGTTATGACTTGCTAAATCAAACTAAGAGGGCACCTCTACCAGCGGCGGTACTTTTGCTTCTGTGAGGAGTAAGGGAAGCCGACGGGAGCAAGGTATATCGACTCCAGCTACGTAATTAACATAGCTATACTTGCATATCTTGAGTCAACCTTCCCTTTTAGGGTAGACCTGGCCTCAATGGCTGTCTAGACTACATCCCTCTTTTGACAGAGGGATGTAAATTAGACACTTCGTAATTGCAAATAGAGCGGGGATTTAAATATCCCGCGCTTCATTTGCATAATTGCATCATGGCGCTCTTTCAGAAAAACGCCATTTGAAAAGTAAACCCATGGTCTAGATGCGGTTCTTTCATAAATGGCAGGCTTTTTCAAAAGATCCTGTTAACCTCTTTTTCAAAAGAGCGCCATGATGCAATTATGCAAATGAAGCGCGGGATATTTAAATCCCCGCTCTATTTGCTCATGCGACGTGTCTAATTTACATACATAGACCCAGCGAATGATAGTAAGCACCTGCTGAAGTGCACTAGATATGGGATTAGAATTATACACATTGAGTCTGTGTGTGAATGTGAGGAGAGAATTAAAGGAAAAGTCAGATACATAGCCATGAAGTCCTGCCTCAGTGGTTTGCATCTACCTTTCTCTTGATCATATAGCAAAGAACCCAGATATATAAATGTGAAGTTGAAGCATGTAACCCAATAGAAGAATCCTTATGACAATAATGAAAGAGGTTTGCGGTTATACACAGCTACCTCTCTCTATAAATAAAAACTAGGGTGCCCATTTTTCTCTGTGCTGAATATGGGTTACCTGGTAAAATTACTTATATTCAAGCAAGTTCAGTGGCAATCAGTACAAAAGTTCAAATTAATATAAAGTTGACTGGGCTCCTGTTAAAAAGAAATACTGCATAGAAGGATTCTTTTGATTTATCTTCTCACGTCTAAGGCTTTAGGGTTCACACACGGAGGATTGAAACATGCCCCCCACATATAAACACGGGGAGAGATGACACACACACACTCCCACAGACCTCTCTCACATGGGCATGGGGGGTGTTACCGACCGAACCCTCCCAGCCCAGCGTTCTTCACCCTCCGCACCTGGCTGGGCTTCAGAGACAGACCCACCTCCCCTGGTACCTAGCACCACATGTTCCCAAGGGAACCCATGGGGGGGAACACAAGGTCAATGCTCCTGCCCCACATGTCTGCCAGGGTTCACACTAGAATGCAGCCAGCAGCAGCCTTTCAGCACTTTGCCGGAGGGAGAGAGCAGGTGCTGCTAACAGCCTCAGGGGAAAGGGATGACTTTGCCATGTCCTTGCAGAACTCATCTATTCTCCCTCCCACTCCATGGCTGTGTCTAGACTCCGTCCCTTTTCCGTAAAAGGGATGCAAATTAGACATATCACAATTGCAAATGAAGCGGGGATTTAAATCCCCCCCGCTTCATTAGCATAAAAATGGCTGCCGCTTTTTTCCGGCTCAGAGCTTTGCCGGAAAAAAGCGCCAG